GTCATTTTTAATTGCTAATTGCATGTACAATTTGCTTTTAACAAATGGAAATGACAGTATTAATATGATAATGCAATAATGCGAATACCGCGCAATGGGAGTAATTTCGAGGATAACGAATTTCAGTTAAAATAACCGAGCTATAAATGACGATGAACCCTTTTACGGTAAAATTAATATGCAAATAATTTCAAATCTATACCTTCAACTGTTTCGATTTGGTGAGCATTATTAGTTTTTCTTTATTTCTCACCTATAGTTACGAAGCTAATATCTGAATAGTGCGCCATTATATCGATTTCTTATATACATATACAAAATGTATAAATACGTACATATATACAAATTATGTTGTAATAATATAATATAATAATTATTACAACAAAGCAAAATAAGATATAGATTGTACTTTTAAAAAATCTTTTCATTATAGTTAATTAATTAATTAATTGATTTTTTTTATTTATTTTGTTAATTAGAAAATCTTCAGCAGAACTGGTATACTAAGTAATTCTTCAAAATTTAATAAGTATTAAGTAAAATAAGTTTATTGTTTTTATTCGTGCATATTTTTTTCTTTAAAGAATTCAAAATAAATTAAAAAATTTAACAAAATTAAAACATAAGAATGGTATAAATTGTTAAACAATATTACGTGATTGTAAATGGATAAATATACTTGAACTAAAACAGTTATTACAGAAAGTGCTTAATTAATGTAATAGTTTCTAAAACATTTCTTTGAAAATAAAGTTAGATGTTAAACAAAGAATTATATACGATACACACGAAGAGATCTCAGTATGAGTCTATATTTAACGAATCAGGGAATAATTTTAGAGGACATTCGCAAGTAAAGCTGTGAGAGTTCTCGATAATTAAAACGCAACCACTGTAACGTCCACATTGACGTTTGCTCGAACTACTGCACCATCCAATAAACGAGCCGGCTTCGATCCAGGAATTTCTCGTAAATGTCTCATCTACTAATTACTATCTTAAGATAGTCTACCATTTAGTCGATGTGATGTTTTAACACTAATTTTCAGACATTGCGACCAGTTTTGATACAAATACAGTAAAAGTAAAATTTCATTCAACAATCTTTCAAAAATTCTATGAATCCTAGAATTAAAAGAACGTGATTAGTAAAAGATGTCAAAGATTAAAGATTTGTATATTGAACTAACAACTTGTAAGGACTAGAATTTATGAAATGAGATTAGTCAAATAATCTATATATTGATTCTTAAATCTAAAACACGCCTAAAAATTAATATTTTATAGATAATTGACTTTAAGAAATAAAATAATAGAATATATTAAATTAATTTTCTGAATTAAATCTCAATTGAATATTTTCTAATCCGTGCTCTTTCAGTTTACAACTTTTTAAATATATTTATACATACACACAACAGTGTTCAAATGTTAAACATTGACAGAGATTTTCAATTTAATTAAAACAGAAAAATACAATTTACGAAAGATTTGTTTTCAAAAATATATTTGATCTTATTACTGATATGCTTTTAGAATAATGTAGGGCTTGAATCTCAAGTGTAGAGCATTGCAAATACAATATTTATCGCGAATATTATCAGTATACATAACGAAAATGCATCCTTGCCTATTCATTGGTCGATTCAAGAGTAACTCGAGATGTGAACATCGATATCTGAACGTGGTAGGCATCGAAGCCTCTCATCTAATTATAAATATACCAACAATATACCAATATCCGTATTTACACGTTCTCTTACTGTTATGTAACGGGCGAGAGTCCGATGCAAATGCAACATTACGATTATATGGTATAAGCGCAGAACTGGCCGAGGATAATTGTGCTTGTACGCCGAGAGATATCGATATTAATTATAATTAAACCACAAACGCGAATGCTGTACGTATTGAATAACCATCTGCACGTCGTAAATTTAATGCGTACTATCTGTTAATTAAAAATAATATTAATCATCATTGTATTGACGCTAATCTTTGCGTTAAAGTTATAACGCGTAATCACTATATGAAAGACAGTCAAAAATATATTGTAATGCTTATAATAAAGTCGGCTCTCTGTGGATATATTTTATTCGTAAGTACTAGATAAGTATATATTTCGATATAATAGTTCTATTATTTGAATAATTTTTCTCATTTTAAACGCTAAATTAGTTTTACGTTGATACGTTTTTTTGACCTAATTAAATATCATTGACTGCTTTAAGTTGCAGACCAATTACATTACACGTATTAATTATTGAATATTAAATAATTTAATAAGGCTCTCATGCTCGAAAGCAGTGATTTATTAACTTTAAGTAACGGTATATGTGTAATAAAAGGGCTCATGAATATCGTACATAATACTTACATAATATATTTAAGTAGCCGGTGAGAGTAATATTCTTGTTAAATTAAAAATCTCGATGACCCAATGCAGTTGCAGAGACTCACGTGCGCTGGCTTCATTATCGTGTGCACATTATGCATGATAAAAAGCTGCACGATAGAATAGCAGCTCGAAGCTTATATTGAGTGTTCAAAAATTACTCAATTTAATTACAGATTCAGTGACCTATTTGGAATCTATTTTTCCTAAGGAAAAGCGATGAGTCACCTGTAGAATTTCCGAGTGATTAAGTACCGAAAATAAATGACTTTTAAAGAATTCTATTTTTTTCAAACAAAATAAGGATATGTTATTTTATTTTAAAAAAATTTCGAAGAAAGATTTTTCCTAAAGCGAGTACAATCGTATGAATGATTAATTTGCAAACGATATTCTGTATCGCGTTAATTTAACACGCGAAAACAATGGACGTCGAGATTGTGAGATGATCCATACCATCTGGACTTACAAAGAGAAAGGGGCGTATCCTGGAGTGGATGCACTAATGCACCAGGCTGCATAAATCGCGGCGATGGAGAGCGAGCAATGCAAGAACGGTCATGCTCATAAACAAGTTCCTGCACGAGGGCGGCGAAATGCGCTTTTAGAGGGCACGTACATTCACCCTCGTCCTCGCGCCCTTTGACACCGTGATGGCCGGTGTAACAAGGATTTGCAATGGTAACGACGGTGTCTCGTGGCCTGTAAAAGCGCATAAGAGGACGCGCTGTGCGCAAAGCATTCGCGTTAGTGCTCTACATTGAGGACACGTCCGAGTGTCTTCAGATATGACAAACGAAAAAGACTCTTACAGAGATTTTTGTAATAAAGAAAATCAACGTGTTCTGGTAACATTAAAAGAATTTATTTTTGAGCCACGCTATATTAAAAATATGAGTGGATTTAATATATTAGCCGACATATTCATACACGATTCTTACATTTATGATCTTTTTAATTAAATTAATTTTTGAGTACAGTCTTAAAATGTCATAAGCCTATCGAAGTGTCTTAAGACATTACTTAAGACTAGATTTAAAAAATTAATGACTACGAATACCGGTCTATGAATGTTAAATATACATAGAGTATTCTGGACATTTTAGTATAACTGGAAAAGAGGTGATTCTATATGAAAATAAATCGACAGAACGTAACAATAAAATTTCTCTATACGAGGCTTTGTGTTGTGTGTTTTCAGAAAAATTGATTTTAAATCACTGGGTACTACTTCGATTTAATAAATCTCGTTGTAGACTATTCTGTACTCTCTGATCATATTTGTGTTTGTTGTATTGGATAATTGAGAATACACGGTAAAACAGGATATTCACGCACGATGAGTTTTATTACTTTATAAATTATTGAAAATATTATTGATATATCCGAAAACAAAGCCTTATATGGAAAAAAATGTATTCTATGTTTTCGACTTATTTTTCATGTAAAACCATTCCCTTCTCAATTGTACTCTATTGATATAAACATCAATAATATGTGAATTTATAACATCATGTTATAAATATTGACGAGGGATGTGCTCGAAAGTTATTGCGTTATTATAATACATTAATATCGTTGTATGGCAATAACGCAGAAGTAGAAAAGAACGAAGTATATCGAAGTTTCGCTTTGCCAAATACGAAATCTACATGGTATATTTTTGCATCGATTTTTACGTTTATATTCCTCAATAATATACAAACGTGTACTTTTTTCAATAATTGCATATATTATATCATGTATCTGCTTCCAGTTAATATTTCTTCTGCTGTGCTTTTTCTTTCTGGAAACTTACGTAGCAAACCGCGCATCGATAATCGACTACATGCGCCACGTGCAAGAGTCAAATGCATCCTCCCCCTCCCATAAAAAAGTCAAGAGAATCTCTAGCAATTTAGAACGAGGACATTCACGAAGTTTCCTTGACCTCGCTGCTGTCGCCTCTCGAAGATATTCGCGAAAACTCGAAAGCGAGCTACGCCGTTACTATTTGCAGCTTGCTTGACTCGCGCAAAAAACTTCCTCGAGTGCATTCTCGATTTAATCGGATATTTCCATCGTCACGATTTTACTCGATAATGGAATCGGATCGTATTTCTCCTTTGCATTATTTAAGAGACACGTGCATTAAAGTGCCGCACTGTCGCGGAAGAGTTCATTCTTAAGTAAAAACAATTATTCCAGAACGGTACGATATCTTCGATTCACAAATACGTAGTAGAAACTCTGTTAAATATTTGATTCTTTGTTCTGAATACTGTCATCTCTCAATTTTAACGTAGATCATATATAAAATATGTAGATTCATATTCGTCTTAAAAGGAGAAGCATTGAGAGCTCTATTTAAAGGAACTTTTAAAATTGATTACGTCAAAAACTCATAGTAATGTCTCTAAAAGATTTGTAACACTTTGAGAATAGAGAATCATTTCTCATATATGGATATATCCATAGGTTTACCGATTAATTAAAAGAAGAAAAAGAAAGACAATCTTGCTTCTTCTTTTTACAAATAGTTGACGTTGCGACAGGAGTGTGCATATATAAGTATTTTTTTGAAGGCATCATACATTATTACGAAATTAATAGAACATATACTCACGAGATGTGAGTCCCTAGTGGTAAACGTAATTGGATCTGCTGTTCTGGGTTCACGACAGAAAAAATCCATCTTTCCCCAAGCCGCAACACCAGCCGCTCCGCTTTTGGCCGCTTCGATCAGCTCCATTCTGATTCTTTCTGCAGCAAATTCCACCTACGAACATACGATCATAACAATGTATACGCATATGTATAGTATACGTTACATGATAAAATAGAAAAACAGTTGAAATTCTCTCTGATCATTATTTTTCTTTTTAATTGTCCTAAATTTTAAACTAATTGAATTTATATTTCCAATTTAATTTGAATTTATAAATTTATATGTACACTCCAGGCTAAAAGTTTTGAAACACCTCTCTCAAAAATATTTACAACAACATGTTTATAATAATTCTTCAGATAACAGTTATTGAATTTAAAAAATACATTGTTTTACGTATTTAAATATACAATATATTCCTAAAGATATCCTTTTTAAAAATGTGATTCTGAACTTTTAATCTGGAATGTATATTCTTCACGTTCCTACGTTCCTCATTTAAATTCTTCTTAATTATTAAGCTGTGTGCTCAGCATTCTAAAATTTCACTCGAAATTAGATGCTTTAGTCTAAATTTTAGTATGTTCATAAAACGGAAACAGTCATCATAAGTCTCCGATCTTCTGGAAATATCTCCTAAGCTAAATAAGGATATTTGAGCCGGTAATATAAACAGCTGGAATTCTTCAACGTAACTGTATGCATGTTCGTTTTCCTAGAAATAGCTGTTCTCAGAAGAAAGACCCAGAAGAAAGGATAAGCAAAGAAATGTCAGATTATCCTATATGAGATATCTTGCTTTTGCGGTCATAAAAGTTATTGTCCATCAACAGACATGCGAGCGTACTTGATGCACATCGGTCGAAAGAGATATTTTAATCCATATAAAATCACAATATTTGGATACATATATCTACAAGCCGATCAAATTAAGGAAGCATATGGTGGTAAAAAATAAATAAAAATTTCAGTCGATAAATATCTGCAAAAAGATCTGCACGTGCAAAAAAAACTGATCTATTTTGATATACTGCGCAAAAGAAAAATTTATACGACTTTTTCGCTTCTAACGTCGTAATGCAATATGATTGCAACGGGGAGCTAAGAGTCTTACGTAGAAGTCGAAAGTTCGCGATGGAATTCCAAACAATTTACATATCGCGAGCGCGCGCACGCTCGTAAATAAAACTCATAGGAATAATTTATCGTGCGATTCGCATCGCGTTGCTTAAACTGCAAACAGTCAGCAAATTACAGTCGCCATTAACCTCTTGCCTTATAGTATAGTGCGTTTTATATTGTGACAAGTTTTATCGCTTCATTCGCGGTTCTTTGTCGCCACCTACGGCGCGTTAGTTCGACTTTACTTCACGGGTGAAACTCCCCAAGTAAGTTGCTGGCATGAATATTTCATTGCGTTACGATGACCACGTCGACACCCCATTGGGCGGAGATATTTTTATTGGTTCCTACAGAAACTTCATGTGCGTCGTACTACCGAAATAATTCCAAATTTTCCGCTTAAAGTGTGAAAGTCCTTAGTTAAAAATATTCTTGCCTAGTACTTAACAAGTTTAATGGACATTATGGTCATTTATTTAAGAGCTCTTAATTAGGAATCACTTCAACTTTTACTGTTACCTACCGAAAAGTTTCGATAACTTCAACGAAAGTCAACTTAGATTCTTTAATGAGAGCGATTATAATAAAAATCTTTTTATAATTCAAAGATTAAAACCATACTATATTTACTGACTATCAAAAGATAATTAAGAAGACGTGGGATTAAAATGTTTCATGAGAAAGATTAATTAACACTGCCTCAAAAGCAGAAAAAAATTTGAAGGTATAAAATTATAAGACATTATGAAAGCTACATACACAATTATATTCTGCGCTATGTTATATTAAATCGTTGCAAATAAATATTTTAGAATTACATCATACAATTAAATCTTAAGAATGTATTAGATGTATAGACTCTACAAAAAGTAACTGGAAATAGGAATTTTATATATATATATATATATATATAAAATATTGATCTTATTGAATTATTTCATATGCAACATTTATTTTTATACGAAAAGTATATATATATATACTTTTCGTACAAAAATAAATGTTGCATATGAAATAATTCAATAAGATCAATATTTATATTTAATGATACATTTCAATTTTCGTAGTTTAAATAAAAGTTTTCACATTTTATTTTAATTATTTTTTTAAAAACCTATCTACTTCTTATTAAAATATTTTTTTATTCGTGTTCTAAATTGCAAACTTTTTACATACTTTTAAATACATATAAAAAATCTGTAACCTTTTCGTAAGTTTTTCTTTTTCTTATAAAATATGTACAATACATCCTTAAGGAAAACATTTTCCTGATTTTAATTTCACTCATATAAAGTTAACAAGAATTTCATTATTTTGTAAGTATCCTGATACGTTCCTTTATACTACATACATGTATATAACAGTCGACCTTTTAATCAAATTTATTAAAGCGCAGAATGTTTAAGCAATATGTGTGCTCTCAAAAGATGAGTCTGTGATTACATTCTCTTTACTGACACTACAAATATCTTGTCAAACGTTCGACACGCTACTGCGATTTTCCATCGGCAATTGTTCAGTGTAATTTTGGTACCACAGTAATTGTCCGATGTTCGACTAAAAAAGGCAAAAAAGGGCAATTTAATTATTCCGCACGATAGTATGATTTGATTACTAGCGCGATTTTGTCTCTCATCTCATGGAAAAATAAATGTTTGCTTATATTAAGATAAATAAGAGAGCAAAAAATAAGTCAGTCACATTTTATGATTTTAAGTTATTTTTCTATATTAACGAAGAACAAAAAGACAATATTAGTTCAGATTTAGAAATTACTTCAATACAAACAGTAATAAATTTAAATTTACGAGTTAAATTTTAGACACAAATATAAAAAATATAATTTTTACATTTATTTGTCTTACATTTATTATTTTTTCCTAAAAATTTGCTTTATCTGTGTTATTTTCATTCATTAATTATTTATTTGTCTTCTGCTATAGAATTTATTCTAAAAATTTATTAAAATACAATAATTTTGTTTTTAGTTTATCTCACTTAATATTACTTATCTATAAAATTAGTTTTAAAATGGTTAAATATTTAGAAATAACTTTATATTGAGCTTTACTGCACTTTATCTTCTTTATATTTTCTTGCAAAATATCGAAATCAATATTTTTATAGCCTCTATGTAGAAATCTTAAAATGGTCAATGGCTTCTATTACGCTTTATGCAATTTTGATTCCAGTTAAGCTTATTTGCGGTGTAAGCGGATGAGGAAGCTGCTGGAAGATATAAATAAGTCATGCTGCTAATCCAACCTTTCTCAGACACCCAACGAAGTTGATGATCCCTTTGGCGCCCTGCAAGGACCTCGCATCAGCTCCTCCACCGACGAGAAGTCGATCGCTCGCCAAATGCGTGAACGATCCCGCAGTATGACCATGCTCAGCGTAAACCCCATCGACAATAGCAGAGAGCTGTAACAGAAAGAATAATAGGATAAAAATTCCATGACGAATTATGGAATTAATTTTAACTTTTATTTTAGTTTACTTTCTGCATACATTCAAATTAAAAAGAAATAATATTCTTAGTTTAACATAATCTTCGAAATATTTGTTTTGTAATGTTTCGTAATTTTTCTAATAATTTTAAATTCCACGATTTTCTTTTTTCCTTCTTTTTTTTACATTCATTAAATGAAGGCTTGTTTATTTCGCCCGTAATTTTTTCCAAGCCAGCAAATTGCAAGCATCGTTATATCTCGCTCTTCTTATAAAAGTAACCAGCGTTAACGTCGGTAACGCGCTTCCACATCTCGGAAAAAGAGCGGCTAAAGTTTCCGGGGCGATCATGCGGGCATGTCGTAAAGTTTAGCATTTAGACAAGCACCGTTCTTGAGAAGCGGTTCGTTACGGTCTCCGTGGTGTCGATAGACGTTATCTTTCGGTTATATTCTTCCTTTTTCGTCTATAAACGTTTTAACCAACAGAAAGGGAAAACCGGGTAGAACGGACAGGGTTAAAACGTTAGGATGTTACGTCCTCTCTCTCTCGCCGTACCTTTCTCGGAGGCATATCTAACTAAGAGGACGATACTATCCTCTTACTACTCTTCATCTTCGCTTACCACCAGGGCCGTCGCTATGCGGCCTGGAGATTTTTAGTAGCAAAAAAATAAATCTTAAAGCTTCTTAATTTAAGCAACTACAAACACACAAGTTAAAACATTCGAATATATATTCTTTCAATTCATTATTTTTTTAATGAATTTTACATTAAATATACCCAAAAAATAGATGTAATAAAAAATAAAAAATGTTAAGTTAATATGTAACATACAATTTTAAAATGTTAGTTAATTACAAAGTTAATAATAAACACTTTAATTTAATGCAATCGTAAAAGTTTACATATTTCACATAAAAATTTGAACAACTAGTAGAAATATTAATTTAACATTAACTTTTTGCTTTAATTATGATGTAATGAAAACCAGAAATCTTATAACATTCTATAAAATTTGAAATGTTTAAATAGGTAACTGTGAAATTAATATGAGAGTATAAATATTGTATAACAACCAATGAAATATTATATAACAATCAACATATTGTAAATGTATTGTAACTGAGATTACTGTATATAAGTTAAATGCGATTATACAAACTGTTAATTTTGTTTCTACATTATCAAAATGCATTATTGTTTAAGTACAATTATCTTAAAACCTATACTTAAAAAAAAACATGTTACTCAGCAGCGAAACAGGATATAAAACAAAACCGTAAGAAAGGTAGAATAAAGACTTTGAAAAATAATCTTTTTAATTGATTTAACTCTGAAAATATGACGTGAAGCATTAAAGCCATATAGGGCCGGCCCTGTTTGCCGCTTCCGCCTTTCCTCATCGTAATTAGCTCTCTTGTCGAGGGCGCTTCCTTGGACCGCAGTCGAGCAATCTCCTTCATAATCCTTCAGGCCTTATCTCCGATGCTTCTCAGTGAACAAATAGATCTTGAGCTCATCGCGATGAAATTAAGGAACTGTCTACGGATAACGGTGTTCTGCACCGTAAAGCGTACTTTGCATAAAAGTATAAAGATACGTTAATGCGTTTCTGCCATCACTTAATCACAATTGTATGTACTTATGACAAAATTTAGTAGTAAAGTAGTATTAAATTAAAACATAGAGTTGATGTGTAAATGAAATACTTTACGCGCGTAATATTTTCCTACAAAATGATATATTCGTAGCGATAAATAATAAATTTATTTGTATAATTAGTAAGATAATTATTTACATAATCAATTTATATAAATGACAAACCATTAGTTAAATCGACTCAACCGCTTTATATGTATAAGTTATTAAACGTTTGTTTATGTTATACGTTCTGATTATTATTTATCTATCATTTATCGATCATTTCTTTGTAAAACCATTATCAACAAAGATAAACAAATATAAATTGAATTGTTTGACAGGATTAAACATGTATGCTCTATTTTAAATATATAAAGGCTTAGCTTTATAAATTTTCAATTTCATATCTCCTATGAGGCTCATTACGTTCGTGGATTAGCCTACTTTGGCGAGTCGCTAATTCAGGTAGAAATTTAATTAAGCCGAAGTAAATCAAAATTTGCAGCTTTGATTTGAATCGGGAAACCGCAATATCTCGCTCTATCACGAGGAAGAAATTAATTTTCCGACTTAATTAATTTTCCATCTTCATTAGCCGCTTCTGGACTCGCTGACTCGTGCTAATGGCCGTCTTAAACATTTATAATAGTGTCTCAATGTGAACTGAACCGGCAATTCATTGTACAGGCAACTATTTTCTTTCCCTGAAATTGAGCTAACATGATAATTAATGACCCGTCGCTTTTAAAATATAATGTATATTTTGTGTGCAGTTTGTTATTGTTATTTTTAGTTATGAGTTCAATGATTAATATTCTATGAATTCTTGCATTTTTTTTTGTTAATTCTACATTATATACACATATATATTTAAATTATATATAACATATAAAATAATAATAGTATTAACCTCCAGTCGACATCAACTAAAAGTAAAGTAATTCGGAAACAGATGGCACAGAAAGAAAGATATTTTATTTCTTTGGATGGACAATCAGTAAAAGTATGTAACAGACAATGGGCAAAAAAGCACAATTATCAAAAAAGTTCATGCCAATTGACATCAAAAAAATATTTAACAAAATACGAAAAGATAAATCATGAAATATGCTTTTTAATATTTGTGGTACGCTAAGGTTTGTGCTTCGATGCTGTAAAACCGAAAAAATGATATACGGTTTTAACCAGTGCTTTCTAGTAGTCATATGGTTGATACAGATTGTAATTTGTAATATTTTTATATACGTAAAAATTGTAATTGCATATTCCTTTTACTGGGGGGGGGGGGGAGGGAAGATGACAGTAAATATATAACGCAATTTTCCTTGATAACGTTATTAAAACGATTTTATAGATTAAAATTTTGGATGCTTAATATAATTTGAAATATTTCAAGTTAATAAAATGCTGTTTAAATAAATAAAAGTATGTCCAACATACTTTTTAAATTATTCCCTTTCATATTTCCTCAATTTACGTTTTATCATATCTTTATGCGTTTTTATAAACTCTCGATTATAGACTGTAAATAAATAAAATTTGCAAGTTTATATTGCAAATTTTATAGAGGGAAGATGCCACTTTTGCAGTGTATGACATATCAATTTTTTTCCATAATACTGAATATCAAACGTTTAATTCGATAATTTGTATAAATAAAGAAGGAATATAAATAATTTTTCTAAAGTATGAATAATAGTTTTTCCACTACTTAATTCAACATTAAGAAGTTATTCAAGAATAAAGATTTAAGTGTGGCGTTTTCCCCCGAATTAACTTAACATAATGTTATTATTTCTCAACAATATAATAAAATACTTCTAATATATCACGTATTATATATAACAGTTACATTGTTAAGCAAAATTATGATATAAACGTTATGTTACTTTTAATTGGTGTGTTAACTGAGAATTTATTTTATACATTTCCAATAAAATCTTACGTGCAAGAAAGTTGGGTACTTAAATATTTTGCACGCATACAATGTAACTAAAATTAATTCCTTAATAATATAGATATTTCATTAGAAACCTAAATGAACGATGGCGTGGAAAGGAGCCATGCAAACTCGGTTTAAGGGAAGCGGGTCCTCTAATAGCACCTTTTTCCTCGCATCGTGATAATCGTGAGCCACCAAGCGTCAACAGACATTGCTCGGTTGCGTGCACAATGTATTTGGGGCAATACAATAAGCGTAGCCGGGAAAGTGGGCCGCAAACCCACCAGAGGAAACATACGCGCGAGAGGGTATCCCTCTTGCAACCAGTATGCTGATCCTCGTTTGACGAATATGGAGCGAACGGAGTGACAAAGGGGATGGAGTAGACTATTTATTACAACTAGACGTGAGCTCTGCTTAGCCGCTCACGGATGACGGACATTGTGCATTTGTACGCGTCCGTGGAGACGCAAAAATGCATCGTATTTTGTTGTCGCTAATGCTTTTTAAATTTTGCTTCCTGAGTGTTTATCGCAAATCACATTGTAAATAAAATAACGTGTAAAAAAAGTAATTATTAAATTTTACTTCTTTTATATATAAGTACTAAAATTCCAAAATTTTAGTCTTAAAAATGTTTTAAAAATTAGAGATATTAGAAGTAAACATATTTCAAAAATTTAATCAAATTTAAGTAAAGAGAAATTATATAATTGTTGAAATTCTTGTATTAAGATTATAAAATTAGAGATCAAGTAATGTGTGTGTGTATTTTTATAATTATATATACATATTCTTTTATTAAAATATTGAGATTGTAAATATTAAATAATCCAATATAATATTTTTAACAATGCTTATCTAACTGTTATTTAAAAACACAATGTTTTTTTTGTCACATAACAAATAGCAACGTTGTACGATGTTAAAAATGGAAGCTGCAAAATGATTCCGTTCCACTATTGGTTTCGTTCGCTTCACCGATCGTTTTTCTACATTACGTCGTACGAAAATAAATGATTTCTACGTTTTTAACGAGATCGTAAATTATACCCGACACCCTGAAAGGCGGCCTGCGGAATGAGTGAAAAACAAGGAAAAAGATTCGTGGAAAACCAGGGAAAACCGGAGAAACGTCATCATCGAATTTACTGGAGCATTGCGAAAGTCTTAAGAACGGTTCAAACTCAAACATCAAGGTGAAAAGACGGGAAATGTGAAAACTTCTACGCGCATACTCGCCAGGGAAGAAAAAGGCAGTATCAATGCGAGATCTCCTTGCTCTTTACATTATGAATGATTTATTCTTACTTTCTAGAACGATAGCGTCGTGTTACAATCTGACATGAGATATAATTTCAAGAAAGAGGATAGTTTTTGTAACTTATCGGATTGATTCTACTTAACGTATAATATTTCACATATCCCAAAGATGAACATCAAAGTAAAAACTATTTGTGATAGCGACTTGATTGTAAAGTCAAATTATTTTTCGAAAATTGCAAAAGTTATTTCATGTTACGTCGCAGTTTCCACAATTTTAGAGAGATCGCTAATTTTTACCACAATGATGTTTCATTAAAAAAAAAAAAAAAAAAAAAACGTATGAAGTGTGTGGAAATACTCGCATTTAGCTAATGGGAAATTGTCAGCGATAAGTAAAAGAAGTAATTTACGTTTACGTGACAAGAAATTCGTGATAACGTCAGTATTTTCAGCTCGCGAACTGCACCGTAAATTATGCAATCGATCGGTTTCGCGCCCATTTGCATTTCAGAATCTTTTTCCGACTCCTCGCTTGAAAGCAGTCAAGTGCAGGCGAGATGCATCAGCTGCAACTTTTTCCGCCCGTCTCGTCGAAATCGTCGGTATATTTCTTTGAGACAGACAGGTGATGGAAAATTCATCGTTTATTGAAATGTTATTCTGTTCATAATACCAGTATATAAAGTAATTTATCTCTTACAGGAACAATTAAAACATTCGTATTACAAAAATATAAAATGTGGAAAACTATTTTTAATCGTTTAATTTTACAGTATAAAATATGTAGATAGGTACTTTCCTAAATCAGATTAATTTATTAAAGTTACAAAAAATCTTTTTTTATATACAATATAGGGTGGACTTAGCTAAGTCGTACCGACGGTTAAATCGTATCTCCATTGTATTTTCTAAACAAAACATTTTTTTTTTTAATAATAATGACACTGATGTGATGCTAGTAATAGGGGTTAAGAACTATCATTTTTGTTTTGTCTTTGAGTCTTCTGTTTACCAGTGACATTCAAAATTGATTTTGTTCGGTGTCTGATCTAAGTTTTGGTACAATTTATCTAAGATGTTATTTAAGGTGGATAATTGAATTTATAGTGTCCTTCAAGGTTATAATTGATATTTAAACTCTTTCCGAGTATAGCATCAAATTAGCAAAATATTTGTAAGTTATTGACAAATTTGTAAAAATAGAGGGAATTGGGTAAATCGTTTTGCAGGTTTTTATATTGTACCGATACAAAAACCGGTATTGTGTACCGGTATCAATTTAAGTATTGCTTTTTTACTTTGTTTTTTTTAATGAGTTAAAAAACAGAGAGTCTAATTTCTGTTTTCATAATAGAAAAGTTTTTATTATATCTAGTTAAATGTGTATACTCAGTTTGAAATGAAAAATAAATTGATTAATAAATGAGTTTTAAAATTTATTTTTATTTATTTTTCCAGTAAACATACCGACGTTGTTTACCGTTATTTTGATGTTAAAGATGTTATTTTAATGTCAAAATGACATTAAAGCAACGTCAGCTTGTTTGCTAGGTTAGAAGTACGCTTTAGGAATCAGGTGGTACAATTTAACGACCCGGTCTCCAATCGTACCGAAAGCTACTTTTTTCTAAATCTAATTTAAACAATAATTCAATGTTTATTTTCACAAAAGTATCGTTTTGTTTTATTGCCAATGAACCAAAGTTTAATGTTGTAAGTACAGAAATAATTCTAATCTCTTCAGTACTTTTGTTACAATTTTATTTAGGGGGTGCGATATAGGCGACTTCCTGCTATTATAATATACATACATTTTTCTCTTTACCGCCCTTTCTCTTTTCAATTATATTATATTTATACATTATTAATTGTGAAACAAAAATGAAAATTTATGTAAAAAATTTCTATTATTTTTAAATATTTTATTCTATATAAAATTTCCTTTTACAAAATTATTTCTTTCTCTCTTAATAATCCGCATTATCTCAATTTCAAGAAATATTATATACGGAACATTGTAGTTATAACGAATAATACTGTAATATGTTTTGCGGTTAGTTTCATTAAAAATCTATCATTTATTAATCATTTTTTTCAGTCAGAAAAAAATGTAGAAATTTCTTCTCACACACACAGTATAACATCATTTATAAACTAAAAGTCCTTCGCGCATTTTATAGTTTAGTGGCATTGAGCTAGGATAAATAATGTGGGAACATTTGTCAACTTATTTCTGTATGCCATTCCTGTGAAAATACTTTCAATAAAAAATTCACACACAGGATCCTTTCCGCCCGGAAGCACAGCGTGCGAGACAACGACGCTCACGTAGGCGAGAGGACGAGACTTGAATGGAGATCTCGAGATCACCCGCGTGTCTCGGTAGGACATGAGTAGAGCAATAAAAGAACGTGGCCGGAGGACCTAAACGGATGGATGACTGAGCTCTTGTTAAAAATGTCTCGACATTTCTCTGAGATGCAAGCAACTTCACGCCCTCTGTTGCGTTCAAGATGCTTTGGTAGGAATAAAGATAGTAGTAAAAACCAAATTAATAAAGATAAAGAGAGCCTAACATTAATCAATTTAAAATAAAAAATAATAATCTAAATATTCATCATTGAACAGATTTTCCACAGACATGTTTCAAAATAATCTTGTACTTTCTATAATTATCTTTATATAATATCGATGTATATATTATAGTAGATAAAATATAGAAATTATAATCACCGAATCGAATTAAAATAAAATTAATTTGTCGTTTGATATAAAATATAAAAGTAATATCAATTATTGAGTGTAAAACAAAGCTTTTCATTAAAAAAAAAAGTACACAGAGAAGAATCGTGATTAATCAACTAAATAATGTAAATTCAACTGGAACGACCGTAATATTCTTTTATGCACAATTTTTTTGCGATAATATTTGCACTCCTTTCAGTGCAATTGATCGAGTGCATCAAAGCGCCACGTATATACAATATGCGGTAGAATAAAAATCATACACTCACCCTGCAAAAGCTGGTTATTGAAGAGATCTGAAACAGAAAGCATAAATGTGCAATCAGTATAGAGTTATACACAGTATACATTTTATGCGTTTCCGAGCGGCGCCGACAATTGAAATCCGAAAGTTGCCCGACGTACGAAAGCTTTCGAAGCTTGATCGCCGCGAAAGCTCGCGAGCTATTCGACGTCGAGCGAAACTTTTCCTTGGGATTATCATAAGAACTTTTTTGATGCGAGAATAGCTACGCGGCGCGTCGCTCGAGAAAAACGCAAAAACGTATTTTACGTATATTTGTAGAAACTTTACCGATTTTTATCTCTTTTCGCGGAGAAGGCTTGCAATTTGATGCATAAGCTTCGCTTGGCGGTACGAGTCAAGTTCGGAATTTGAATTTTTTTTTGCACAAGTTCATTAGAAACTTAATCATCTTACCATCTTTCAAATGGTAATAAGGTAGTATCAGTCTGTAAGATCACTGTCCAAGCAAAGCTCCAAAATTCTCTCTTATTTCGCTTATTTCAAAAGATAAATAGCTTTCATGAAAGATAAATAGCTCGAAAAATATTCCCTTTCGTTTTTATTTCATCTTATTTTTGTTCGTCCTTTTTGCAGATTTATGATGGAGATAAAATTTTTAATCGCTTTTAAATGAGCGATTTTACAGAGAACTTCGAGATCCGTAAAAATTTCCCGCTATTGATAATGTTTCGAACGCGCGTGTACGACAAAGGGCATTTGCTTTCTAAATGAGCGGTTTGCGAACCTGCGGTTGTGTGGGCCTTATTAAGGAGTCCCTTTGATCATGAGGCGATTAAACGACTGACAGAAGGGCAACGGCCGGGACGAGAAAGCCGGTGACGAGCTCTTGCTTTAGCGCGCTATGAAATAATCACGAAAAACGCACATGTATACATGTCTCTTCTTGTGGCGATTATACATCACATTCACACGAATTTATCAAGCAATCGTTGTATACTTTTTCTTTGATCGTTGTGCATGTTAAACCGATACATTGTGGTTATAAACCTATATAACGTTTTTATGATATATATATATATATATACAGTTATAACTATTTCATCTTTATTAAATTGTATTTTTGTTGAATTCGTACTTCTTACATATTTAACAAATAAATATGATTCATATAACTTTCTGCACAATTAATGCAAGTATATTCTATTCATTGTTACACTGTTGCATCATAATGTCGATTGTAATATTTGTTGCAAAAGTTAAAATAATAGATTGTAAAAACAGGTTATCGAAACAGATGACAAGCACAATATGTCATATATCACTTATGCAAAAATATGTGTGTAAAAATATGTGTGAAATGCAATTTTTATTTCGGATAAAATTCCGTGCACAATCGATATAACAGATATCAAATTTAATGCATACATTATAGATAATTTAAGGATTGTATTGTTACGATAAAGCAAACACAGCTTTTAGAGGCTTATAGCCAGCCCTACGTATGAATGGCTCCTGATTCGGCATTATGTTAATATCTTGGCAAGCAATTGGTCGATACGCTCATTGTTTGCCTTTGATCAGTTATCTGCCTAATTGGCTTCCGATTTAGATCGCCTTCAGGCTTAAGCGAGTAATATTCGATGAGATTTCCTATACGCTCAAGTACACTGTCGAGTAAAAATAGGGAACAAAGGGATTACGAGCTCGATAAGCTTTGTCCCATGAAGCTTAACGCTCTGTATCTAGACGAGTTACAGAGTTGCATGGGCTTTACGAAAAAATAACAAAAAGTCAATATTTTATGAAATATTTTATAATTTATGTCAGAATATAGTATATGTCGAAATAAAATACGAAAGATCTCAAAGTATAAATTTTACTTTTAATGTATAGAGTTGTCAATTTATTTTCAATTTATACGATAGTTCAATTACGAACAATCATAATGCATTAATTAAAAATGATTCATCTATCGAGTACAGCATTGCGACCACTGTAACGATATTTTTAATTCCAAATGTTACAAGAACAAAAGTGATTTCTGTTTTACATAAAATTGTCATTATGCAACTATCGACATTTCCACGGGATTTTCACCGAAGGTCGTGAATTTAAGGACTACTTTGCAGCATATCAAAGAAAAGCTCCGGTATTCCTCCGGATTCTCTTTCGGATAAGCTAATGTTTGTTCAACTGAATCATACGTAACGAATTAAACGTTCCCCGGGAAACCGCTCGAATGCGTTGCAAATCTTTCTCATTCATGAGAATGATTTAATGCCGCGGCTTTAGATCGCGTACTTCAAACATTCCGCAAATGAAGGATCGCAGATCCTTCTATTCCGCCGTAATTCTCGATGATCTCTCCCCGGATATTTTACAAACGTCGGAGACTAACGAATCATATTCATTTCTCGCAGCTCTGATTTAGAACATCACACGGCGTTTGTCTATATAGACTAACCTCACGCATTGTAGTTTAGAAAATAAAGATCTCTTTTAAACGTTTAATGCAATTAAACCACGATCCGAAAGAAATAGTACATATTATTACGAATAATATGTTCTCAATGTGTGCAATCTGCGTGTTGCTTATCGTATAATTTCCGAGAAAAATTCTTTGTTTTTTCTCGAACTTTTCGAACAATTCATTTTATCATGCTCCTTATCCCTTTGCATGCACACGTACGCATTTAATCTTTCCACGCAAATTTTCTTGCATTCAACGGACATTATTACACGAGCACTCTCTGTTTCTTCCTTCAGCAGGAATCGATCCTGACAACAAACGTATCGTAGATGGCATACTTCGATAGTAAATTCCCGAAGTCTCCACGTCGTGAAAGCCAAGCGTGACAAGAGAAGCGAGACGCTATCGATGCACATAAGTTCGATCCGGCAGGCGACGAATTGAAATCTTGATTTATAGCAGGGTATATACGACCCCGAATCTCTTCGTTCGCGTCGCGTACTAGCGGAAAAAAGTAGCAGGAAAGTTTCGTTTCAAAAGAATTTGCTACTTTATTTTTTTTTTTTCTCAGTCAAAGATATACGTCTTGGCACAAAAGTTTTTAATTTAACTTTAATTTGCAGAGTATGTTTTGAAAAGGCCCAATGTCTTTTATAATCGTAACTTTTTCGGATAGTTTAAAAACTTTTCCTTAGAAAAAAATGTCAAGTAGATCACTATTTATAACACATTTTTAATTTTTACATAGAAAAATGATTTCGCTGAAATATTAAAAAATGATACAATAATTTGCAAATCATTTTGTTGGATCAAAATAATTAAGTAGAAATCTCAAACTTGATAAGTAATACTGCAAAAAGTTTTGATATCTTAGTGGCTTGAGCGTTCTACTAAATTATTTTGGTTATTCAACAAAATGATTTTCAGATCTGTATCTAGCTAGATTTTTAGGTATTTCAAGAAAATCGTCTTTTTTGTAACATCATACAAGTATTAATAATAAATTTTATTTATGTAGTGTATTAATACTCATATATTGTATACATTGTAATAAACACATGTAAGATAAAACGCATAAACATCAGAGAAAATTTTAAATCGTGAAAGTCTGTTGAATTTTAGGTAAATTCCACACGGCATGAAATAAAATCACGTAATCCCCGCGTATTCCCTTGTTTATCTACGAATACGAGGGTTCAGCCTTCCGGTCGATGCACTTGTCGTCACGAAGAAGCGAGGGTGTGGCAACGAGAGATGAAAGTACTCGTGCTTAAGGGACACCTGATCTAGTGACACACGAAGGATGAGGACGCGACCCACCTCCGTCACTCCGTGCTCGCTCGCGCGCGTAAAAGCGGGAAGAATTCGTTGCGAGGAGGAACGCGACGAGCGAACGACGGAACGAGTTGCCCTCATAGGTATGCACCGAGCGCAGTGAATGGATATACGCTCCGAGGTGATACGGTGTTAAATCTTTCTGTCAGAGATCGGTGGAATCTCTCGGGTAGAGCACGCGCGATCGTGGCAGGCTTCGCCCTTTGAGGATCTCCGAATCGACTACGAGCATTTTTCCTGTTCATTCTAAAGCATCCCTAGTGCTAGATGCCAGACTAGATTTTGTTTTCCATTTTCTACTTGCAAATACATTGAAGGATATACTCTTAATCTATGAAATACAAGTATGGTTCACATTTAATTATAATTAATCTATCTCTAAATATATTACGTTTTACACGTTATATACGCGTTTTCATTGATTTTTTAATTGACCTCTATAGGACGGGAAATCGTTTTAATAGCACTAAAACAGTGTCATATTTTAAGACAAGGACTAAAAAAATATATAAAATAAATCCTCCTTTTCTGGCCTCTAAAGATTAATCTACATGCAAATAAAATTGTTGCAAATAAGTAATGTGTGATAATATAAATATATTTATATATTATATTTGTATCTATTAGCGACTAATAGAAATTATTAATAAAATACATTGAACTCCTAAATTTACTGTCTTATTGAATTTTTGCTATTATTTTTTCTTTTGCAATCCATTACATAATTTTTTTATAACGATACATTATTTTAAACTAAATGAAACCTCTATACGTGATTAGTTGATAACACTTATTTCGAAGTTGCCCGACGATTGCATTTAATGCATTTAAGAGCTTAATTTATAGCTTTCATAAATGACGTAATCGATTGAAATCTCAGAAGTTCGCATGCGGAATATATCATCAGAATATTCATGTTGGTCGATATTAATGAACGTTACCACGAAGTGACGTGCGTTAAGTGTACTCGTGCGTGTCATCCGAACATCAGCTGAATTTCAGTTCCTCTGCATTTTCGAATTCGTGACATTCTTGAGCGAGTATAAAAAATAGACAACTATCTCGATTCCGTAGCGTAATTCGAATTCGTGATATATTAAGACATAGTTTTTTCTACATGTATAACTTTTTACTATGAAAAACAAAAGTTTATATTCGCGTAAACTACGTTTCTTTTTTTCCATTAACAAATGAAGCTGATAGCGAAGTACGCAACAAAAAGATAACTACGTATAAATTAATTG